AGCAGTGCCTTGCGAATGGCGGCGTACACGGTGTCTGCCTTTTGGGCGGCGTCCACTGGAGTGAGCAGCTTCTTGGCGCTGTAGAAGCTGGACAATGGGGCAGTCTGCCGGTGATAGGCGGCCAGACGGGTCTTCAGCGATTCGGCGTTGTCGTCAGAGCGTCGCTTCAACGGCTCGCCGGTGATCTAAATTAACAAGCAAAAAATATAGGAAAAATTAATCAAGGCTTTTATGGGTTTAAATTTTTTTCCCCCAAAACCTACATCATCCTTCATGGGCACCTTGGGCGGGCTGAACTCCTCGTGGTAGGTTCGGCCGCTGGCCTCGTGCAGCAGTCGGCCGGTGACGCGGCGAATCAGCAGACTGTCGTCGATTTTGAACTCAATCACGGCGTCCAGCTTTGACTTGCGCGTCTCCAGCAGGTCGTCCAGCTGAATTAAAAAAAGGAAAAATGCAAAAGTATTTGATTATTTGTCAAAGTTTGCAAATAAAAGATTTTTCACTAAATACCTTCTGCGCCTGAACCACCGTCCGGGGGAAGCCGTCCAGGAGGAAGCCGCGCGCACAGGCGGGCTTATCGAGGTTGCTGCGGATCAGCTCGATGACCAGACTGTCGTCCACGAGGCTGCCCGCGGCGATGACGCCCTTGACCTTGGCGCCCAGCTCGCTGCCGCTGGCGATCTCTGCGCGCAGCAGGTCGCCGGTGGCCAGCTGACAGACGCCGAACTCCGCCTTGACGTTCTGCGCCTGGGTGCCCTTGCCGGCGCCGGGCGGACCGAGGAAGATGGCGTTCATCGTCGAGTGCTCGTAGGCGGCCAGGCCGCGAGGGTACTTCTCTGTCTGCTCAGCTGTTTCATTATCTGCTTGGGCTTGAGGTCGAGCGTTTGGTGCCATTGTAGTGGTAGTGATGGTAGTGATGGTAATGTTGTGCTTTGGAAATGGGGTTTCAATTTACTTTACTTGAAGAAAAAGTTGATGAAAAAGACACTGGTGGTGGTGGTGGTGGTGGTGGTGGTGGTGACAGTGATGATAATGATGACACTGATGTTTGCAGTGGGCAGTGGACAGGGCAGGAAGAAAAGAGGACTGAGGATCCTGTGTTTGCTGTTGAATGCCTGAGAAGGCGAGAAACCTGGCGAGTGTGTGAGTGAAAGTGTAAGTGAAAGTGAATGTTGGTGTGTGTGTGTGTGAGCGTATGCAGTGCCGGCGTGTACAGTGCACGGTTCACGGTGGCAGCGGCGAATCAACGGCGAAGGCTCAATGTCTGCCGGTGCAGTGGTGGCGGCAGCAGCAGCAGCAGCATCGTCACACGCACTCGGCGAACGACGGCACGGTAGCACAGCAACAGGCACAAACACTCACACAGTACAACACACAGACTCAAGTGTAAGTGTCTTTTGCCGGCGTGCAGTGCCTGCTGCTGCTGCTGCTGCTGCTGCCTAGTGTGCCTGCTGAAGACAGGAAAGGACAGGCCAGGAAAAGAAAAAGAGAGTAGCCTGGCCTGGTGATCTGATCATCACAGTGACTTTAGTTTGATTTAGTTTTAGTCAGTTGTTGAAAATAGTGTACCTTTTTTACTAGCAACAAAAACTATAATTTGTTAGCTTAATTGTAACTGAAAACACGTTGTTAGCAGCGTTTTGCCGTTTTTTTCCCAAGTGTCAAGTGCACTCAGTCAGTCAGAAGTAGCTAATAGCTTAGTAACACAAGAGATCATCAAACTTTATCCAACAAATGGTATCAATAGCAGCAGCTAAACTGTAATCCCACTCAATAGTAAAAGCGGCAGGTTTGTTTAATCAANGGTGACTTTAGCTTGATTTTAATTGTAGTCTCAATTTATTCAAAATAATGTACCTAATTTTACTAGCAACAAAAACAAAAAGTTACCATAGCTAAGATGTAACAGAAAACGTTGGTAGTAGNAGTGACTTTAGTTTGATTTAGTTTTAGTCAGTTGTTGAAAATAGTGTACCTTTTTTACTAGCAACAAAAACTATAATTTGTTAGCTTAATTGTAACTGAAAACACGTTGTTAGCAGCGTTTTGCCGTTTTTTTCCCAAGTGTCAAGTGCACTCAGTCAGTCAGAAGTAGCTAATAGCTTAGTAACACAAGAGATCATCAAACTTTATCCAACAAATGGTATCAATAGCAGCAGCTAAACTGTAATCCCACTCAATAGTAAAAGCGGCAGGTTTGTTTAATCAACTGGGAAAGCAAAACAAAATCAGTGGTGATATACTGTACGCATAGTTTGCTAGACCGATTGACGCCGTGTGTACAAGAGTGACCTTTTTGTTTCCTGAAAATCTGTTTCATCAAAAAAAAGTCTCGCTAATTGTGTTTTACTATCTAATTTAGTTTAAATGCACTTTCAATAAACTCAATTTGACTATTTTTAATGTCGCGTAATATTGGCTGATCAATTTTAATTTTTACTGATCACTTACAACTTTAAAACTGGCAAACAAATGAAGCAGACAAGGAACAACTGTTTAACAGTTTACCATGCACAAATTACCAAATGCTTTCGTACACAGTTAAATGAGGAAGTAGACTGCAAATAACGAGCTTTCAGTTGCAGTTGACTTTGGCAGGACATCTTTCAGTGCTGCTGCTGCTGCTGCTGCTGTAGTTGTACACACACTTAAGAGATTTGCTGTACTTAGTGTTAACAGAACGGCAGCAGCAGCACAATCTAACCACTTTGCGATATAACTTTTGCTGCTACTCATTTGACATTGCAATTTAATGAACAGTTGAACAGTGAAACAGAGGAACAGAGGCACCCGTCATCGGTATTATCACACACACACACACACATTGCTGAATAAAAGCAGAAAATCGTATCAGTGAAAAGTGGTGCGTCTATGTGGCGTCATTGTGCTTAAGGTGATAGCTAGCTAGGGCCAGCATTGATTAGCCCATTGATTTGATTTGTGTGATTGTGTACAGAGAAAATGAAAAAAAAGACAATTGTCTCTGCATCAGCAGACAGATGTAGTCAACTACCACTAACATTGAAAGTGTGATTTCAAAGTGGTGATCACTTATCACATAACTTGACTCTGCATTGTCAAAATGACGTGTTGCAGCGGTGAAACTGCAAAGCGGGGACAGCAGCAGCAGCAAACAAAGCTGTGTAAAAGGAGTACATTGAGTTTTTCTGAAAACAAAATTGTTACAAAAAGAAGTTAGCCAATAAATACAAATGAAAAGTATTTTAAAATTACAAATATAAAAACAAAAAAATTAAACAAGCAAAATACAATTTAATTAGAAATGCCAATCACAAAATGAAGTAAACAACCGTAGTGTATTATTGCCACACAGCACTTCTAGCAGCTTCAATTTTAATTGTTCACTGGAAAGAGTGCCTTTCGCATGGCCACCACGTCCTCACTTTTAGTAGTGGAGCGAATCAACGCCGTGCCGACCACCACCCGATTGGCGCCCGACCGCCCACACAGCTCAATCACCTTCCGACTGACGCCCCCGTCCAGTTCAATGTCTATGGAGGGGTGGCGGGACCGGATAGCCGTCACCTTGTCCATCATCTCCGCCATGAAGGCCTGGCCACCTAGACCGGGCACGACGGTCATCACCAGGACAGCGGGCACCAGGTGGAGAAGGGGCAAGATGGCGGTGACCGGGGTGGCCGGGTTCAGCGCCAGCGAGGGCTCCATCCGGGCAGTGCGAATTGCATCGACGAGCTGTTTGACGGAAAATTCACCCCCAGAAAAACGAGGCTCACTTTGGGCGCCTTCCTTTGTCACCTCGTAGTGGAAGATGTAGCGGTGGACGCCGGCGGCGGCCATTGGCCCGATCAGCTGCATCGGCCGCGTCACCATCATGTGCACCTCAAATTGGGTGTCTCTACGGAAGGAAAGGAAAGGAAATGTTTATCAAAATCAAGATAAGTAAAAACAGAAGTTTAAAACATCAACTCACGGAAAGGCGGTAATGAGTGAACGGACAAAAGAAGGGCCAAAGGTGATGTCATCCACAAAGTTGCCGTCCATGACGTCGAGGTGGACAAAGTCGACGCCGGCGGCCACCAGGGCGGCCACCTCCGCCTTGATGTTCACAAAGTCGCAGTTGAGAATGGAGGGGCCGACGGCGGAGGACACTGTCACTGTCACTGAGTTGGAGCAGCAGGAGTTGGAAGTGGTTGTAGACATTTTGGCTGTATGTTTTAGAATGTTTTGTGGATGCTTTTGATGAAAGCTGAAAAGTAGTAGTACTGGTGACTGGAAAGATCCAAAAAGTGCTTTTTAACCGGCTAAAAAGTTGACCTGTTGAAGTTCAGGCTGGTGTAATCAGAGAGTAATGCAAAAGAAAAAGAGAAATAGAGGGTTGATAAGGTATTGGTGATATTGGCTATTGGTTAGGCTTGCGTTCAGTTGATCAGTTGCTGAGACGAGAACGACAAGGAAATGTTTCAGTGTGTGCTGTGTGTTGAAGTGTGAAGGAAGTGAAGTGAGCAACCTTAGCAATCTTGTTGTGTCAGTGTCACTGCTGTCAGTGTTGTTGTCTGTGTACAGGTTGTTATAGTAAGCGTACATGTGAAATAGACATAACAGACTGTTAAAGTAAATGGCAGATGGCGTTTTAAAGTGTTAAGCATATTTTAAAAAATTCAAAATTAACTGGTAAAATCAGAATAACAAAAAAAACAAAGCATTTTTTTCAAATTTGAACTTTTAAAACACCTTTAAACCTCAGTTTCACAGATTTTAAAACTTTTTAATTTTGTTTCAGCATTTCCAGGTACCGTGAGTAAACGGCCAGCGCCCGCTTGTCCACTCTCACGTATTGCTTTACAAAAAAACAAAAATGATTTTTTGGTTAAGAAATGACAATGTTGCGAGTTTTTGAAAAAACGCCAAACTTCGTACAAAACCAAGCATCGCAGATCATTTTGCTCTCTCTCCGCTGTTTTCCTGAGCTGACAGTTCCGGCGCGCGCAATGGATTGTTTTGTTTTGAACATGTTTCTGCTTGTTTTCTGATCAGCTGATTTTTTGTTTTTAAACAAACAAAATTTATTGATTCATTTTCGAAAAATTTCAGCTAATTTTTGTGAAAATGGCTAATTTTGAAATGTATTCTGATTTTCATAAATCAATTAAAAAGAAATGACAACAAAAATTGTTAATAAACGAAACATTTTTGTTATTGCAAAACGAGTTCACTTTCACATTTTTAAAACGAACAGTAAATTCAAATGATCAAAATGCAGGCAGAACAAGCGTATTCAAAACAAAACAATCCAATGCGCGCGCCGGAACGGTCAGCTTAAGAAAGCAGCCGAGAGAGCAAAATGATCTTTGGCGCTTTTTAAAAAACCCGTAACTTTTTCATTTTTTAACCAAAAAAATTAATTTTTGTTTTGTTGTTTAAAGCAACTCTTAACAAGCATTTTAAAGTGCTTAACACTTTCAAAAACACAATTTTTAATTACTAAAAATGCAATGTTTAAAGAAAATTTCTTGTTTTTGAAGCACTTTACAAAAACAACTTTTTATTGTAAAATTTAAATTTTTTCAATTTTTTGTTTACACCGCCGTAAAACCAACGACTTAAGTTTTAAAACGATATATAACATGATACAGTTATCTAAAAAATGTTTGTAGAGATAAAACCCAAACATTCTGCGCTGACTAATGACCTTTAACTTAACTGAGTTTGATTCATCGATCTAGCGCTAATTTTCTTTGACCGACTGATGTTGTACAATCTAAGCATTAGCTAAATTAAGACATGCAAACAGGATGATAATTATTTTGTCAAATTGCACTCATTTGTACCTAATTGACGTCTGTGACATCCAACTGAAAAGCTATCAGTAAGTGACCAAAACTGCGACCGCAAGCAAAACTGCCAACGAGAAA